TCTACTCATTTCTGAAAAAAATCTCAATATGAATGTAATCAAAAACCCTACATAAGATAAACAATTACAAATTCAATACAGTTAAAACAAATATTCAAAATTTTGAGTAATAGGCTAAAACAAATGTTCAGTAAAGACCTTGGTATGACAGTAAACAGATGGCACTTGCAGATCATTTGCATCTATTGGCATTAGGTGCATGGACATTTCAAGGCACAAGCCAAATTATGAACTTTTTGTCCATGCACTGTCTGTGTTTCTGAAACCTTTTTACGCAAGGCATAATCTCATTTTCAAGAGGTCAATATGTCCATATTATTGGAAAAAAAACTCAACATGTTTGCTTTAATAACGCCATTGGAAAACACAGGCCCTTTAGCTGTTTACTATACATCCTTTGGAACTGCAAGCACCAGCCATTATGATATAGAGAGGAGGGAGATGCTGACCTGTTCTGACATGTAATATTATTGTGCTGCGGGGGATCGAAAGTGAGAAGGGAGAAAATCCATAATGCACTGTCGATATGAATGAGGTCTATTGTGAAAGAAGAGTAAAAACAAAAGAGCGCGGGCAAACAAAATATGACACGTTCATAAGCTCACAGGAGTCAAAAAACCCAACAGCAGTGAATTAGTGACAACAACTGCCCCAAAAAATATCAAATGTGAAGGAAAATCAAGAAATGTAACTGAGACAAGCTCTATATACAGTCTAGGTCTGCTGGCTGGCAAAAAAGACCCAGTCAAGCGGATGTCTGGTACTTCAATTGTGCTTCACCCTTTGCCGGGAACGCATTCCTGCATTTCTATCTTTCGAGCCGGGAGCGCTGTTACGCACTTCTACCTTTGAGGCCGGGAATGCGAACATGTCTGTTTATCTTTTTTGACCAATTCTCTTCTTTGATCAATTCTCTTGACCAATGAAATGCATCAGGATATACCAGGGATGAGATTTTTTCCTGCTGAAAATATCAGTCCTATGAAATGTGTGACCGCTGGCTGTTGTTTGTGTTACGTACTTGAACGGAATTCACATCCTCCGCTCTGACCTCGGGAGGCGCCTTGTATGGACAGCCGCTTTGACAATAGCTCAACGAACGCGCAGCCGTAACGGGGTCATACCGAGCGCTGACCAGAGACGCGTGGACAGAACCATAAATGCGCGATCCGGACCATCCTCAGCTTGTTGCACAGGGTCTTGCCTGTCTCCCCCATGTCTCCTCCCGAAGTGCAGGCAAGACTCACTACATTAAGGTCAGGTACCAACATTTTCGCTTGCATTGACAATGTATGTTATTTGTGCACAAAAGTAAAATGTTGTGAACAAATCAAACTAGTAAGATTTGCTGATGGAGATTAGTTGAACCAATGGCGAGGAGCCAAGCATTTTAATGAATTGCGTCCAATCAGTAACCTGTGGAGGCGGGTCTTGCTGTGAAAAGTAACTGACCTTCACTTTGAATGTTCTGAAAAGCCAAACACAACCATGCTAATATTATAGTTATTGTTGGCGCTGAACCCACACACAATAATAGTATACCAATTGGAAACAAATCGTTGCTTAAATTCATTGCAATACTCCAAAGTTTCCCGTCGAAGTACAAGCACACACAACGCGAAGGACAGGGCACTTTGCGCCACTAGAGTGCAGGCTGGATCTGCATTTTCAATGGTTGGATCTGACAGAGAAGAGCAGTGTGGTAGAGGAGAGAGATAAAGCCAAGCAAAAAGAACAAAGATTTCAGCGTAGAGCAAAAGGTGAAGTCTGGGAAATTGTCAAAGCGCCTGGGAGACAAACAAGAGAGCAGTAGCGAAGAGGAGACGTGGAATATAGTCGGCAGAACAACACGGGACAAGTAGATCTCATGAATGTTCCTGTCCAAAAATACAGTGTGCTTGTTCACGCAGCAGATGCCAGGCTGTTATTTGTCACTACAGGAAAGTACTGTCTGCAACCGCATTATTTGTCAAGAAGCTTTTAGATCTATGTTATTTATACAGGACAGTCACGTCAAAATATCAATTGAACAATGCCACGACTGCACTTTCTTGGCAGGGCTAAGAAATGACTCATCAGAAGAAGTGAAGGAATAGTATTTGAGTATTTAGGATCCATTTTTCAATGACACTATTCAGGTGCCACAGCAAGTGATTGTAGTCTAAATGGGGGTAAAATATTGAGACTATTTTGAAGAATAAATATCTAAATAGACAAACAGAAACAGAAATAACCATAGTGCGATGCTACTGCTACTGCATATGGCCACTGGTACTATTACAAATACTACTAATACTTACACCAGTAATTCTCCAGTTACATCACAGTAAGTAAGTTTGTGTAAGCTCTCAGTCTTTCAGGGATTATTCCAAACAAAGGAAGGTTGCTCACCCATCCTCTGTACTTCACTTAGCAGGTTTTCCCGACGTTTCATTCTTATCCAAAGCACTTTTTCAAGGGAATGAAAGCTTCACACAGTAAGTATGGATGTTCTTACAACTTTATATACTTAAAACTACACTCATTTACGGGCGGAGACACCATTTGGTTTCTGCCTGGGCCTCCCTAATACAATCTCTCTGATATAAAAAAAATCTGTTTATTTTTGCTGAGTAGTATAATAAGCAATAAATAAGCAAGCACAGAATTATTCTATAACGTAAAACAAACAGTGCATCCTGGCACATTCCCTCCCCTCAAATCTAAGAGTTACGATTCCTCTGACATCACCCGTTTCTGAGATGGAATACAAACAAAGAGTAATTATGTTTGTGAGGATATGTTTCTAAAAACGCCTTCCTTTAGCGTAGCCACCAACAACGACCCCAAGGGTACATCCATCCATGAAAGAGGGCCCTAAAACAAACATTTGCCTTGGGCCCCAAAATGGCTCCATCCGCGCTTCCTAGTACTACTTGACTTCTGAAAATATAAACAACTTGCGTCAATGGTTTTTCACACAATCCCACCATAACCTTTCATACTTGATGGCAAAGTAATGGGTTGGGGTTATTCGTCCAATGAATATGATATTGAGCAGGGTTTGAACTGTCATAATTGCAGTGAATAACGGCACCTCGGCCATCCATTTATCGTCTCCACTCATATATGATATGATTTAACATTGCTGTAAATGGAGTTTAGAATGACGAGGAGGCGCTACGTGGCAGGTGAAAAGTGATCTGAAGGAGGTGATAGGCAGGAGCAGGCCCTCACATAACACTTGTTACAATTCTTCCCCTGATCTGCCACAAAACATTACTATGACAAAAGCATATAGAATAATCTGTTTTTATGTTGCTAATGTGATGCCTGTCTTCTCCGCCTGGATGAGCAGAGCATTAGAGGAAATCATTTAGCATTATACAAAGCAGATCTTTTTCCATTGGAACAAAACACGCTTTTAACTTTTGCTTTGGCAGAGGGTCAGAGTATTGAGGCAGTCAAATCCGGTTTAATTTAAGGTGTGTGGTCTCTCAAATTTACATAGGGATTCATTTTATAATATTTTTTACTGTTTGAGTATTAACACATACTCAAGTAAGAAGTTATTAATAACCTGTGACACAATAGGTACTTTTCTTATTCCGACAGGTTGTTAGCTTAAATTAGTGATGTGCTGAGCGGACCGAGTCTTCGAAGCGTGGACCGAGTAATCTGGGGGCGTTTCTTGTGAAGTGTGGGTCGAGGCGTGTATTGGTCACGTGTGTGGTGACGTTCGAAGCCTCGCGTAGCGGCCGCACCACGTGACGGTTCATATAGTGCTTCATATAGTTCGGAGAGTGCATTGCTTTGACAGGTGCTTTGTGATCCGCGGCTGTACCATAGACTGTATTGGCTGTCCCTGTCTGCCTCTGTGTGCGTACGTGTGTGTGCGTACGTGTGTGTGTGCGTGATGTGGAGCAGTCCTGTACTAAGAAACTACTTCATATGAAATACAATTAAAAACGTTTCACTTCAGTAAAACCTCATATATCAAGGCTTCAAGTTATTAGTAATAATACGCTGGATAATACATTTCACAACAGCTGTGTGGCGCAGTCGGTCTATGACGGACTCCGAAGCAGAAGATATAGCGTTCGAATCCTGGTCTACCCATAATAAATTTTGTGTTGCAAAGTAAATGTAGTTATTTATTGGGAATAAATGGTTTGTTGTGTTTAATTAATCCACCTCTTGGTAGTTTTTCCTCCATTAATCACTTTCTGTAGAACTGTATTACTTTGGATGTGTTTGTTGTATCAACACAATTGACTGAAAGACTCAAATAGTTCATAGTTCATGAAGCATCATTTCAAACACAACACGTTAGACCATAGATTGTAAATATACATTTTAACATTAGATCTCACCATTCATTGTAAGCACTTAAGAGTGTTATGTATTTCTTTGTCCACATGATGGCGTAGTGGAGCATGATTCACCTCGAGCCTTCGACTCATGGGCCGAGTAATAGGCTGCTATCCCTCAAGGCTTCATGGGGCTTCATATTGCCATCACTAGCTTAAATGCACCACACACTTATTTTATGAATGTTTTTTTAACTCGTCACAAAAGAAAGCGAAGTCTCTGCCTGTTCCAAGAGCACACTGATGGGACTCGAAACCCTCGATTCCCTGGACCTGAGGACTCGTCTTCAGCCTGCCCTTGGTTCTGGGACAGCCCTCTTGATAACTGTTGTTGTGATTTTGTCCAATTCATCGATAAGTTATTTGATAGGATTTGAAAAAAAGACAAAAAAAGATCCATCTGATCTAAATGTGCTACCTCTTAACAATCCCAGCTCTATTTAGTCCATCAAACAGCTGAAGCTCCAGCATGGACCTAATCATGTACAGTATATCACACTTTTCATTTGTAAACCTAGTGTCATAAATTGTCCTCATCCTAAGCACAATTGACTATCTATCCAGCTCCATTCCATTCACTCAGAAATCATCCAGCTCCACAAACTGACTGCTCTGTCTCTCATCGTGTCCTTATGTGGCACATTTATCTCATCATTTTAAAAAACAACCACCCGCCACTTTAATTGCTCCTCCCTGCTCTTCACACGCAACTAGTGCTGGCTCCGGTTCAAATGGAATGCGCCAGTGATCGGAGGGGGGCGAAATGATGATGGCGTTCTGAAAATAAAATAAAAAGAGCACTCTATGCATGCAAATGAGATGCTGTAGGTATGATGGCAAAGTTATCACCCGGTAAATAAAGCGTTTACCCACACTGTCAACATAATTTGGGTTGATTTATAGCCCCATCAACAAAGGCCACCATGTCTAAATACGCCATGGACTGTGAGCCATAAACAGGCCGTAACATCTGCGGATGAAGCTAATTCAGGATTCTACCTATAGGCTGATTCACACCATCTGTAAAGTCCATTTGATTTTACATTCAGCCGACACAATGCAAGCTGAAGCACTTAGCCGAGAAAATACCCATTGATTAAAAACACAGTTGCAAATGATGTACCATAAGCGTGCATGATCACAGATTACAAATGACAAGTCATTTGTCCTGAAGTTGCATTTGTTATCATTTTGCCACAAAAGTAACAAGATGAAGTGTAAATATGGTGTGACAAATCGAATTGCAAATGGAATTGTACATTGCTAAATATTGAGAGACAAATCCATCAAATTATGTAAATGATGGAAGGATTATTGAAAAGAATATATATATATATCCATCCATCCATTACCATGGCATGGCAAGGCAAGGCAAGTTTATTTGTATAGCACAATTCATACACAAGGCAACTCAAAGTGCTGAAGAAAACAAGAAAGCATTAAAATCATAATTAATCACAGTACATTAAAAAGAAAGATAAAAATATAAAATCCCTCAGTTGTATGTGCAGCTAAACAGAACTGTCTTTAACCTGGTTTTAAACATTGTCAGAGAGGAGGCCTGTCTCACATCTTCAGGAAGATTGTTCCAGATTTTAGCAGCATGAATCTGAAAAGCAGCCTCCCGATGTTTAGTTCTGACTCTGGGCACTAACAGGAGTCCAGTCCCTGTGCTCCTCAGAGTCCGGGCTGGTTCATATGGGACTAACATGTCACTAATATATTTTGGTGCGAGGCCATGGAGAGACTTGTACACAAGCAGAGCTGTTTTAAAGTCTATTCTCTGAGCCACAAGAAGCCAGTGCAGAGACCTGAGGACTGGTGATAAACATGTTCTGAGGATTTTTTTGCAGGGATTTGTTGTGTTTTCTAAATTTGAGGCTTTACTTCGGACATCGTAGTTGGACTCGAGGTCAGAATCTCCTTGTTCTCATTACTGTCAGTATGAAACAAGTTACATATTGTTCAAGTGTGAGTCTGCTTTGTAACAACAGAACCATGGAGAACCACAGTTATGTAAAAGAACAACCCGAACAACAATCTTTTAGAAAAAGAATTATGAAAAAATCTAGAGACCGATGTCATAACAGCTGAAAGTTACTGTTCACACCGACAGTAACTTTCTTCACACCAACAGTGATGAGAACAAGGTGAAATCTGCAGCCTGCTCTGAGCACCAGTCCAACTACAAATTTTGTTTTAGTTTCAACTAAACTTATTCAGGAACAAGCCTAAAATATTCAAAACACAGAATCCCGCAAAACAATTGTCAGAATACTTTTATCATTATGACCTTTGACATACCACCAGTCTCCAGTTTAATCAATATAAACTATGCCATCAAGTCGGCCAATCTCCCTGCGCTCCAGGTAAGCCTGGTTCACACAAGACGATTTTAAAATTGTCGGCCGATTTTTTTCTTTGTGTGAGACCTCACACACGGAGATAAAAAAATCAAGGGTCTAACCTCTTTGGTCGTACAGTGTGTGGTGCGCTAGCCTGGCTCTGCCAGACCCTTGTAGTTCCGCCATGCTCCACCAGAGGCGTTTGGCTGAACCACATGGGTCTGGTATCGAGCCCATAGCGAACGCCTTCCCCAGATTATTTTTTAATCGACCAATCAGGATTGCCGGTGCTACGTGGGTTCTGCACTGCCTTCTCAAGCTTCTCTCATGCAGCAGCGAGAGGAATCCAAGATGGCGGACGTAAAGTCCACCAATCTTTTTAAAAGAGTAAATACGATCGAATTAAGACACAGAGGTCACTTTTAATGCAATTTGAGGAGAGATGTTGATGGTTCTATGTTGATATATGTGTGTTTTAAGAGTCAAATGTTCCTGTAAAGTTTGGTTGAAGCACTGGTTCAGTGTTCCTGTTTACACACTATGCAGCAGGGTTGCCAGGTTTGGTGGTTCCCGCATATTTTTTTCCAAGAGACTTGTAGGTATTAAATAAACAGAAAGACAATAAACACAATCATAATAGCCCAAGTTGATTATATTACGTTTTTAGCCAAAAAAATCATTGAGTGTTTTTTTTGTGTGTGGGGTTTCTCGCGGATTTTGGGTTGGAAAATATTGCTGGGATTTGGCAACCTATGGGAGCCGTGTGCTTCGATGTGAGTGGTTGAAAGCAGACTTCATTCAAGATAATGGAGAAGTAGTATATCCAATCACATACAAGGATTTTTTTTTACAAGGCCCTGCCTTCTGAAATCCAACCACTATAGCTCAGTCCCAGACTCATGTGTGAAGTGCAGCGAACTACATGGGTCTGGCGAGAGTCAGGCTAGTGGTGCGCAGCCACACGGCAAAATAACGCAAACCACACACATCACACACGAACCGATTTCTCCCCCGAGCATTCCCAGGTCAGACGGAAATCTCACAAAATCTCTCGAGATCAAGCGTGACTTCAGAGTAAACAATCATGGCGGATGAAGAGAATGCAGTGGCGATAGTTTCCAGTGTGTTTTTAGCAGTGAAAAGACGCAATCAAAAGAAAAGCCGATGGTCAAAGAAGTGGAGACAACGCCTGCATGTGTAGTGGTGCGCACTCCCGCTGGTTAGCCAATCAGAGTTTGGTCCGGCTCTTTATAGAGGCGCGTCCTACCTCAGCCCGACCTCTTCCGCCTCTGACGTCGAGTGACTTGGCCCGGGACAGAGCAGGTGTTTTGATCAGCGTCTCGCTACCAAACTACCACGGTTCAATTGCACAAGGCGAGAGGCCGCGCAATTGAACCACGCGATCGTCGTATGCGCTTTTGGTGAGTACTGCGTAATGATTAAAATATTAGTTAGATTATCCTAAAATCGTGTTTTGTAGCATACCGGCGTCTTAGCGCGCACACCGCTGCTGTGCCGGCTCTCCTTCACCGGGCCCTTTGGCGTGGACGTGACTGCCGTGCGTAAAGGCTTGTCCCAGTGTGAGCTGTCACGGGCTGGGGCGGCTCGTGCGCGGAGCGCTTCAATCTGCAACGGTATGTTTAACTCTGTGCGCCTCCTGAACAATACATGCATAGGAGTTTGTTTCTAATACACAATAATGTTTTAGGATTCCTGTTGTCTCCGACCTCCCCTTCCAAGTGGGGTCTTTTGCACTATAGTCTGGCCTTTTAAATCTAAAGGCACCTTGTGAGTGGGAGTATATAAATCTGTGGTGGCCGCGGGACTGCAGGACGCGTATCCCATCCAGCGCCTTCAATCCTCCACGCACCTCAAATAAGGACAATCAAACCAGTGCTTCTTTTTATTCCTCTACCCACAAGGTAACCACATTCCGGCCCTAGTGTGACTGAACGCAACGGCTGCTGTAGTTGGGACACTTTTAAAAGTTAATTGTTTCTTTTCTTTTTTTGGTTTATCTGGCTGTTTATTGTTTTGTTCTGGAATGCATGCAGTATGACTGAGGATGAATGGGAGTGTGTGTGTGCTGTGATTGTATGAGTGTTTTAATTAGAATAATCAATTAAACTTGTCAGCTATTTAAATAAACTTATATTTTGTTAGATTTGCCTCTGTCTCTCTCCATATCCAAACGAACCTGGGGTCTAGTGATGCGGGGATAAACTTCTTAATGGTTCCTTAGGCCAAAATCTAAGGTGGCGTTGCTGGTATTATTTATTTGTATAGTTCTCATTGAAAATATAGTGAGATTCTAGCCAAGTGCTTCCGAGCACGCAACACATGGACTATACTTGCTACATCTTGATATGGAGGTGAGGTGTTATTTTACGATGTGTCCTCGCCGCCTTGTCACCTCGTCACCTCGTCTTCAGATTGGCTACACGCCGCAGTCATGGCAACGCGCGCGTCTGTCCCCGGGGGACATCACACACAAAGAGAAATCGGGCCAAAACAATCCAACATGTTGGATATCCCCGATTTGAGACCGGAGCAGTCCCGAAGTCCTTCTGAGCGACGAGCACAGTCTTAAGACACCATACATGGCAGGAAAATCCATCAGATTTTTTTTACGATAATCGGAGCGTTCTTAAAGATTGTCGTAGGGGTAAATCGGGTCTAAAATCGGCCTGATTATTCTGCCGTGTGAACCAGGCTCAGGTAGGTCCACTTATGAATGTTGCCATGGTGATTGTCTGCTGGAAGCGAAGGATAACCGGTGTATAAATGAAGCACTTGAGTAGGTTCTGAGTCCAAACTGGAGGAGAGGGGAGCTTTGGCTATCAATTAGGGTTTAATATTTTTACCGAAAATGAGACGTATCAAATCCCGGGAAAAGACGACGCCTTTCCCGGAAAATCCCGGGAAATAGCTGTTGTTTGTAGTTGTTGTTTTTAGCCCAAGTAATGTATGATATCACTCAAATATATAATCCAACAAAAGCTGCCATCTCCACTAGTGTTTCACCAAGCGACTTTCTAGCTTTTCTAAAGTAGCCATAGCGTTTTCAGACGTTTTGTTGATGGGCTTTCTTCAGGAATTTCACTATTATGAGATTCTAAATGTCTGCGCAATCTGCCTACGTCAGCAGCCGTGGACTGCTATGAAAACATTAGCTTTGTGGTTTCACAGGCGCAGTTGACTGCTTAAACTAAACTTTGCACAAAACTTTGACTCTTAAAACCCACATGTGACAAAACGGAACCATCAACATCTCGCCTCAAATTGCATTAAAAGTGACATTCGTGTCTTAATTCTTTCGTATTTCAACTTTTAAAGCAATTCAAGGTCCGCCATCTTGGTATGCTTTGGTTGCCGTGAGACGCGCATGCGCAGGTTTGCATTACATCATAAACAGCTGAGGCAGTGCATCTCTTCAAGACAGTGTATCTCGGCGTTACACCGGCTCTCGAGCGCATCCAATTTCTAATATCAACCTTCTTACCCTTCTCCTCTCTTCCTTATCATTCCCATCGTCATTGTAAGCAGAACATTACCCTAAATGCATTTTATATGATTTTAAAATGTGTTATATGTATGTTAGCCAAACCTGTTGCTGCCCTTAGCAGATGGAAAAAAAGAAAGGAGCTTTCTGATAGAATTGGACGTAACCAAATTCTGGGCTCACATGCGCCCCGTACCCTGAGCCTGGCCTCATTACAAGTCGTGGTTTAGCGCGATTAAGACCCATATTTGTTGTCAAAAACACAATTTATGAGCCATCCTCTAAGCTGTAGACATGTTGATTGTAAATTAAATATGTTTGAACTTTGAACAAGAATAAACGTGCTTTATAATAGGAGCGCACTGTATTTTTTTTTAAACTTTCATTTCCCGTTTCCCGTCATTACATTTCCCAGGAATCGGGAAATAGTTTTCATCAGATTTCCCGGGAATCCCGTATCCCGGGATTAAACCCTACTGTCAATGTCTCCTTATATGAGTGCTGTGGTGACAAGGACAAGCTTGTCTTTAGGCTGTTAGTTTGTGTTATTTTATGTTGCATATACCAAAAAGGAGCCTTTTTGTTGTTGATGAAACTAGTAATGAAATAAATCATGTGGTTGGTCAATCAATGTGATTTTCAAATTTAAATATTTGAATGACTTAAATCTGAAGTCCTTTCTTTATGTCTCATTTTGTTGGTCCATCAGAAACAATTTTGTTTGAGTACATTTTGTGAACAAATCAGACCACAACATGCTGGCTTCCTCCTATCTTAAAACATTTTATATTGAGCTGAGTGGCTGAGTGACGGCTGGTCCTTCTTACCTAATGAGTTGATCTGCATGTCTCTATATTGATCCCTAATCTTTTTGACATGTGCAATGCTGCTAATTTTAAATACTGAAAGATATCTTATCCTACAACTGCCACCAGAGGGCAAAAGATGCCAAACCTTACTATTCTTTGTGAGTAAGTATTCTCACAGGGAAGAGGGCCAGACACAGTTATGGCTGTATTAACTGCATGGCGCCTCAGAATCCCATCCAACTTTAAAATGCTGTGTATACAATAATGTAGGAGTATTGAATTAACTCTCCATAATGATGTTACAGAGCATTACCACAGCATGTAAAAGCAAATATGCTTTTGCAAGAGCAGGCCTATCGCAATGTGGAAATATAAGTGGTCTTACCTTGCGGATGCCCTCTCTGGACTCGTCCACGTTGTTTTCAGCTCCTCCAGTTCGGTTTATCATACGCCACATCTGGGAGTACATGGGGTCTCTCTCAAAGGGGTTCATAGCCTTGGAGCGCACCTGGTCGTACACAGCAGAGTCCAGAACCGTGCCGTAAGGAAGCTCTGTCTGCTTCGATAAGTCCTGCAGAGACCTGAAGACAAGAACAATTGATATAAGATGGGTTGTTTTTGATAAGTGCAGGATAGTTATTTTATTTTCATAATTTGGTAAAGTTGGATAATCTGGAGAACACGTGTGATGATTATTTTATTAACAGAATACAATAATGCTATTTATGTAGAACAGTACAGTGCCTTAAGGTTCATTCACTATTGTAACTTTCTCTTGGCATACTAGGCAGTGAGTGAGGTGTTTTGCCTAAGGACACACTTATTTTCAGTTTAGTGTCACGTATGTCCCACTGTGATCCCCCCCAAAGTATATCTACACTAACAAGGCCTGACATGAGTATTTTTCCATGTTTTACTGCACATACAGGTGGCATCTTTCTCATTAAACAAATAAGAACCCACCAGTCATAACAAAAAGAAAAAAATCAGTTCTGGCATCATTAAACTCTATGGTTTTATTTTCCTCCCCAGTAGACAGGCATGGCAGTTACGCAAGACTGTGCGGAGTAAAAAATGACAACGTGGCCTTTAATCTCATTAATATCACATAAACAGGAACAAAAGCCCTTCTCCATTTCATAATATCAGTCATATTTCAGCTGCTCACTGTGGCAGCAGCCTCTATTGGAAACGGTTTGGACAGAGCCCACGGCACTGACAGGGTCGGAACAAAAGCCAGCTGTGCAACACTTCCAACTATTCCCTTCACACAAATGGATGATTTGCATCTCTCAAAAGAGCCAATGAGAACCATTTGGCAAAGACATCAAATAGACATGCAATGACGAAAGAAAGAAGGAATGATTGTGACGTAAAATGTAAAATAATTTAAAAAAAAAAATATATATATATATATATATATATATATATATAAAAAAATCCAAGAGTATGTAGTTTCAGTAAAATTAAAATTGAAACCTTTGCTAGTGTCCCTGCATGTTAATCACACACAAGATTCAAACACTTACTGTGGTCCGCCTGCTCAAGTTTAGGTAGTAACCACATCATCTGGATTTTACCAAAGAATCTGGCATTCCAAATGCAGACTCATGAAATGCTATTTTGCTTTTGAATTGGAGAATACACCTGAGGTCTTATTCATTTGAACATATAAAAGGTGGCCATCATGTGCATTGTTTTTTGAATTAGGAATATTCTACATCTTAATTTGAATAATAAAACATAAAAAAAAAAACATAAAGGAGTTGCATACAGCTCATTTAAGACTGATTCACAGAGAAAGGGAAGGACAACTTTGAAGGCTGAAGCACAACTGTAATGTCATTGCTTTTACAATTACATATCTGTGTTACCTAAAGCGCTTTACAACGTTCAGATTTCTTTTCTCCATTCTCTCCACACACAGTGATGATGGAAGCGAGATGCTGAACACACTTGCGCAACCAACACCATTAATTCACTCACTCATTCACACCTATTGCACATGGTTTAATTGGTAGGGGAAACCGCAGCACTCGGAGGAAACCTATGAAGACACAAGGAGAACATGCAAACTCCACTCAGAAAGGTCCTGTTCCGACCGGAATTTGACCCCAGAACCGGCTTGATGAGAAGCGAGAGTGCCATGCACTTAGCACCGTGCTGCATCTATGTGCTTTGTAGTTACACATGTTTCCTAGTAGGTAATACATTTGCAGCAGCAGCATTTGGGGATTTCACGCACTGTTCATTACAATGCTACTGCGCTTTGTTGCTTCTAAACAGTTTGGCCTTTGAGAAATGTAATGGTGGACTATTATGGTGAACTAATTACTGTTTGCTTGTTAAGCGCTTGCTACTCGCCACCTGTGGATTTTAGAGACAAATGCATTCAAATAAAACAAGGCACAACAAATCCACAGCTCATGTCTGTCCTGCTTCTATACAACTCGTCAATGCAACAGGTGAAATATATTTTTTTAATGATATTTGTTCCGTCACAAAACAGGCAGGTAGTGCACTCTCTATTTGATTTGTAACTTGTTTGCTGCTTCTTGCATTTTCTATATATTCTTCAAATAATGTCTTGTTATCAATTGTCCCTCTCCCAGTCGAGACTTAGGCCCGGTTGCTACCTCCCGTTCATACGGAGACTGTGTTCCAGGGGGGTGAAAACGTAAGTGTTCAGATCCAGACTGCAGAGTGACACAGCTCAGATACGCTGCTCAGCGGGAGCTTTTTCACACCCGCGTGAGGGAAAAAGGTGTGAATTCTCTGCCTGATCTGACACCCACCTCCCCACGTGTAAATTTGGACATGCGCAGAAGCCGAGAACAAACGTAAACAACAACGGCGGCGGGCACACTAACTAGCTATGTGTGCCTAGAGTGCTGCACGGAGGACGATTCTACCCCTTCTGTTCGTCCAAACGAGACCACACAAAGCTCTAGTTTCAGTTTCCATTTTCGCAGCTGCTGTTAAAATGCAGAATGATGTTGGTGCATGTTTTCACGTCTTCCAGAGGAAGTGAGTATACAGCTGGGGCGGCTGGGGCTCGCGTGTATCGTGTTGTAAAGTTCCTCTGCCCACTACTGTCCGGGCGCTAGAACTACATCGTTTTTGATCCTCGTATGAACGCTGTGAAATTTGCATAAGGAGCCTGGTCGTTTCTGTTAATAACTTGGCAATGTCTGTGCAGCGCCTCTGTCTGAACTGGGCCTTGTACTGGGACACAACAGCAACTCTTGATAGCACTGCTTATCTGTCACTTGCTTTTTAAGACCTATGTTTATCCTCCTTAATCCAAAGAAGCAGAGAAGGTGGCAGGGGGGACATTCTGTTTCCCTATTCTTTTTGGAGAAAGGCCGTATATGACAGAAAAAAAACAGAAATTGTAAAAATAGAAACATGCCGACAGGTGAATTGTGCCTGTGTTTGAATGATCAGCTCTGAAAAAGATTGTGCACAACTTGTTGATATATATATATATATATATAAACTCTTCTGTGTCACTGTCAAATCGTGAGACAATTGTCTTGTGTCCTTTATTGCCATTATCACTAATTCCTCTCCTCAAGAAAGTCTTTCTTTGGAAAAAAAATAAAATAGTGCTTTGAAGGTTTTAATGAACTTTGCCATGGACATGAATATTTTATTGTCTTCAATTAATCTCTGGCCTTGATAATTCGCACCCTCCAAGTCTCCCTGGTGGATAGGAACTGTCAGTGCCCCTTTGACCAGGATTCCTCTTTCATGGTGAACGCTTTTCCTGCTTCTTAATCTGCGCTTGGTGCTTAATGGTGCATACAGAGAAGAGTAGAAGAAATGTACTGCCTGGGGAGCGCAACAGCTCAACATATATTTTAATGAGATGAAAAAGAGTATTGAAATGACTTGTGTTGCAATAATTGGTTGTGAAAGAGAACATAGATTTAAGAGGGGAATTGCAAATGATACCGGACAAGCAGAACGGGTTAAAGTGTTGCAAAAGTGTACGTGCTGATCATGAGCCAGGGCAGAATGCAGAGGTTTATACTGCGCATTAGCATATAATTGGTTTATGCCATGATGATATTAGTGACTCAACATAAGCTTCATTTTGCTCGTGTTATTGAGCCATTATTTTAGAGACTTCCTGGATATCAGCAGCTGCTCTGTCTTGCCTCTTAGCAGGAGGCTAAGTTTTGCTAGCAAAATACATTTCATGTGATCTGCTGGGACATTTTTGAATAACAGATTGCATTTGTTAAGTCAATACAGTACAAATTTACGTACTAGAACTAACTTTATGTCTTCAGTTAATTAAAAGCAAAAGACTTCAGCGAGCCTAATTCCACAGCTGTAACTGAGCGATGCTTTAAAAACATCCCCAAAAGTGTCTGGACCTCGAAAGCATTAATGCTACGCGAGGACATGAAGGGGCTAACAATTCAAGCTAGAGTACGTAATACCAAATATTCACTATAGTATCAACTATGATATAAACATGGACTGATAACAATAAATTATGTAAGAAATGTCAACTGCTGTCCTAAATAGAAATTCTATATATTCTACTGTCTGTCACACTGTCAATCACACCTCCTTATGCACCTCAACATAAATACAGTGTGTTCTATCTTTGAGTATGTTCTCCTAGAATACAAATTAAAGATAATTGCAGTAATATATACATAATGCATAATTATTTCCTTGCAAATCAGTATTATTAAAGGTGATGTCAACAACTTAAATTGTATTCTATCTTTTGTAGTAAATTTCTAACCATAAGACACTGTACTGTTATGTATAAGAAGTATTTAACAACGATAAAATATTCAAAATAGTCCCTTCCCTCGACAAAACTTTGACCAGTAAGATTTTCTGGAGGTGAATAGATGAATTTAGAATAGAAGCGCTTTTGGATTTGAATTAATTTTGACCAATCCTGACGCTGCAGGGGTGAGCATGGATGGGTCTAAACAATGCTTGTCTAAAAAAAAGTGGGTCACTCTTTTTACCTTTTAGGGGCAACTAATACATGTTTTACTGAAAAAAGAAAGCCCATTATGTTTCGGTGTAAATATTATGTCATGTTTCAATAATCTGTCATATCTTGCCATCTTATCTCTGAAATGCAAACATTTATCTCATCTGTCGACGTCTGTTTCAAACTTTTCTGGCAGAAGTTGCAGCTGTTGTGACAGTTCGATGGCTAATAAATCTCAACCATGCGCATGATGAAACACGACGCAATCCCTTTTAACTTTATAGTCATTACTTTATGTCCGTCTTTTTTTTTTGCTACAGTCCCGGGAATGAAACCAATATTCAATTTCGGCTTTAATTAGATTTCTCAAAGTTAAAGGTTTCTCTAATATTTGCCTTTTTGGCTGCCATAATTATTCTCGTTTACCTGAGCTGATTTTCATAAGCGTTATTAACAGGTCAAGGACCATAGAGAAGCCCATTTCATTTTGGAGGCGCTCCAGTTCTGACGACACATACTAGAAGTTCTGGAACATGATAGGAGCTGAATTGAATTAGTGAGGTAAGAAAACTTGGCCGAGGTATAGCTTCTCGCTGCGCACTTATAGCGATT